AATATCATGAATTTTAATTTTATTTCATATAGACTTTTTAGTATAGAGTTTCATATATTAAAAATTGTATGCTCTTTATTAACTAATATTTTGAAAGAGTAGGACTAATGCAAGATCTATAATTGAAATGTTTAGTTTTTATTGTTGTTTTGTTTTCTATGATGTGGCCTCTTTGCTACATTTGCCAAGTTTTCCTACATTTTGCCAAGTTTATATCTGGACCAGAAACAGAAGGAAATGTCTGTGAAATTATCCCAACTAGAACTGGAGATAACTACACATGTATCTACTGACATAAAAGGGTGGAGGGAACTCTGCAGTCACTTACCATGGGTGCAACATCTTCCTTTGTAAATCATATCTACATTAACATGTAGATTCTTCTCCAGGAGGAGGCCCATAGCTGCCACCCACTCCTACACATAAAAGTTCCTGATGCTCATCAAAACCCTGGTCCCATGGGACTGCATTCTGAGCAGAGATTCACTCTGACTTCACTTTTTGCAGCAGACTTGACTGAATAAGTGCCTTTGTTCCTGATGTGAAGCCATTGTATACAATACCTCATTCTTTAATCCACAGTACCCTTCAGGGGAGACTGTCCCTTATCTCACAAAAACTGGGGACTTTCCATCACCTGGTTTCCTGCTGACATGTAGCCTTTGCATGATGCCCATTGTCTCTAGCTCAGGAAGTTGCCAACCTGCACTCTTCTTCCAAGATCCTAGGATTCTCCTTTGAGTACTATGATCTTTTCTTCCATCAAGTAGCATATAAATTAGGTCTTATCTCATCCTTGAGCTCTGAAATACAGAATTCCTGGTTACTTTTGGTTCAAGAAGCTCCCTTGAGCTTTCACATGGACCCAGAACTCCTGAAAAGCAGTTGTATCCCCACTGATACACACCAGGAATGTTCAATAGGCACACTATGAGACTGAATACATTAGCATGCTGTTCTTTAAGGCTGTGCTGGAGAGTGACCAGCCAGTGTTGGTAATCATGGGACATCTTTCAATCAACAGAGCCCCAGAAGACCCCCAGTTGCCTGAGAAATGTGACTTCCATTCACTGGCTCTTAGAATTTCCCTCAGTTTTTGGCTTCAGCTGTGACTATCATTTTCATCTTCTTTTTCCACAATGGGAACAACCTAGAATATACACTCCTCTTCTTAAGTGGCTAACACCTCTCCAAAACACCTTTTACCCTGTCCTCTGTAGAAGTGAGGGCACTTTGCTTCTTGTCTGGAGTCTCTTAGATTCAATTTTGCCAGACAAAATGCAGGGCTCCCCATTACATTTTAATCTTAGAGAAACATGTCTTAGAACAAGTGCATTAGTTACAGTTCCCTAGAGGAACAGTATCGACAAAAAATATATGAATAGATATTTGTGAAAATGAATTTATTAAGTAGATTTACAAGATCAGAGCTTGGAGAGTCCACAGTAACTGCTAGACCCTGATAGGCAGTAGCAGGGTCCACTAACTGCTCAGCCCAAGAAGCTGGAAGCAATGCGAGAGTCATCAAGGATGCAGAATCAACTCAAAACTGAAAGCCTGCAGCTTCCTGGATAGTCATCAGTGTGCATCCACTTTGAAAGAAGCAGCCTGAAGTCTACAGGCAATAGAAGTAGCATAAAACATACCTACTCATGCAGTTGGAGCTCTTCAAGCTTGGGTCAACTTCCTCTTTCCTTCCCTTTCATTCCATCCAGGCCACACATGTATTGGACATTGCTACTCATAGCAGGGTGGGCCTTCTCCTCTTAGTCTGGTGACATAACTACTGATTTCCTGGGACCACCCCACTGACACACCCTGACAAGTGTTTTTAAATGTCAAGTTAATGAATCAAGATTAATGGTCACAATAACCATACCACATGTGATATTTGTATTTAAATAAATCTCAAACAATCCAAGGGACATAATAATGTTTTTTAAAATGTTATCTAAAATTAAACTGTACCTGGGAATCCTGAATTTCCATTGGCTAAATATGGCATATATTTCCACTCTTCTTTTGGGTCAGTTTAAAACATCACTAGATAGACAATAGTCAACTCTGGGATGTCACTCTCATCCTCCTCACTCAACCCAAAAAGTCTCTGGCTTCTAGAATTTGTTTAAGGTGCTGGGATTTGGGGACTGAAAAACGATCATTCTTAGTCTTATATTAAAAGGTATCTGCCAGTCCCTGAGAAGTATCAAATATAGAAAAGGTCAAAGAACCTATTACCGTCACCCACATTTATTGTTGAAATTTTCACACATGGCTCTCTGTCTCTTAAGCTGCTTAAAGCTTTCTCCAAAGGTTTTGGCAAACTCACTGAACAATTATACATGGTGGTTTGGTCAGATTTGGCACTGCAAAGACAAAATACCTGCAACTTATAGAGAAGGTATTTTAGATGTTTCACCTGATTCAGCTGACTCTAAGGCAGAAACATCATGCAAGAGAGCAAAGTTTCATAGAAACCCAAAAGCAGATGGCACTGGGAAGAGGGTCTGCAAAGACACATACAGGTGACCCTCCTCCAGCTGGGCCCCCCCCCTCCTCACAGCACCCTCAGTGGATTGATCCATTCATATGAACAGTACCAATGACTCAATCATCTCTGTAGGAACCTCTCATCCATCAAATAGACAATTAAGATTAACAGATACATGGTATATAACAACAGAAAAGAAAGATGGGGAAGAGACTATGTTTGGGCCCCTCTGCATAAACAGTTTCCTACATTAAAGACACTTTAATTCTTCTGATTCACAACCAAACACTGGGTAATGCAGGCTCATACCATCTTTTGAGTATATATGAAGGAAATCTTAAAAGGGACTCAGGTAGTGATCCTAGGCCACACTGTCTGGTCGAGTGTCCTCCTCTGCTTGTCAGCTTAGTGGGTGTCTTGCAACTGGTTTAAATGGTGCCTGGTTAAATCCTGCCTCTGATCTCTCTGAGGTCATTCTCTGAGTGACTCCCCAATCCCTGAGGCTCCTCTGGAGGCTGCTCTTCCAGCAGTGCTCAAGACTTGACAACATCCTTCCCAAACTGGAATACAGCAGAGCCCCTGGCATCAGCAGTGGTTCAGCATCTCAGCGGGTGCATCTTTAAAGTCCTACTGCTCTTGGACCCTTGAGTCTTCCACTTTCTTTCCATACTAAACTCTGTTGCCCTTCTCAATACTTTAAGAGAATATATTTTACAAACTGATCGCAACTGTCTAATAAATAAAGTTTCATATATTAAACTAGGTAAGTCCCAGTGCAAAAGCCCAACATACTATCTAATAGATGTAACACATTTGGATATGTTAGGGTAAGAAATAATTGTGCCCTTTGCTCATCACAGCCTGCCTAATATGTCAGGTGCACTGAAGTCTAATTGGTACATTATAAGCTTCTTTTTTTAGGTGTATGGCCCCATGAATTCTGACATGTATGTGTGCATTGTGTGGATGTGTGCAAAATCATAATCAATCTAAAACATTCATTCATTTTCTAACTCGTGGCATGCTGAACTTTTTTTATAATTGATCTCTAACATTATCATACCACTACTCTCAATTCTGAATAAAATAAAATTCCTACTCTCAGTTTCCCTCTTTACCTCCCAATGGAAATGGGAATGTGACTTCAAGAAGAAAATAAATAAGTCTTTAAGCACACAAACTAGTCAACACTAACTTTTTGATGAGTTGTAACTGTACGTAGTCCAGCTTTGCCTCCACCAAAACTGGAGACAAAGTATATGGATTTTTATGTAAACTATACTCTGCCTTGTAAATATTCTTTATGAATTCATCCCTCAACCATTTATATAGAATGAAAAAAATTTGTCTTTGGATATTCCTTCAAAGCCTCACACAGTCATGGAGGGGCAGGGATTTTCAGAGGTGACTGAATACAGTTTGTGGTAGATTCACAGTGCAATCCTGTGATCAAAGTTTATGGTACAAAAGACTTGGTGATTGCTGAATCAGTACACCAATTAGACAGGCATCACGCTAATCCCAGAAGTCTGGAAAAGATAAAATGGTCAGAAAGAAGTTTCTTTTCACCTTTTGCTCTTGTTTCTTTTGCTTTCTTCCACTGCCATGAATTGTTGCCCCTCTTCCATGTGCCACCCTGCTTTGGAGCCAGCTGTTATGGACTAAAACCTCTGTAAACTATGAGCTAAATAACCTTTTCCTCCCTTAAATTGTGGGTAAGGGATGATTTTGTCTCAGCAATGAGAGAAAAATAACTAAGACAAAAGTTATACACAAAAACTTATATTTCTGCAGAGTCTCACCAGGCTACCAGCCAAGAACATCCAAAACTATAGAAATCCTTTGATAGCAATGGTTTTCTAGAGACTATGATTCAGTGACTTAAAATGATTGAAGGCAGTAGAGTTATAGTGGCTCATGTATAAGAAGAGAGCACATGCAAACTATAGAGCCAAGTATCCAAATTCTGAATCTTGATGCCACACATCCAGCTAAATGACTCATGAAAGTAAAGGTTTAATCTTTGTGTTCTTATCAGGATACTACTGATACACACATGGCTCTGCTGTGAGTTGTTGTCTTACTTGCTTTTCTCTCATTGCTGAGAAGTACCTAACACCCAAAGTGAAAGGAGGAAAGGTTTACTTAGCTCACAGTCTTTAGAGGTTTGCAGGGGAGGTACATAGCAGAGGGGAATCAGTTCATGGCAACAGAAGACAACAAAAGCAACAATGCAGAGGAGAAACAAGCCTCTTTCTGTCCCTTATTTTGTATCCAATCTACTAGAATCAGGCTGGTGCCAATTTAATCAGTGGACTGATCATCAATCACCCACCTTAATCTCAGCACCTTTAATTCTAGCATTGAACCATGATCACCACCACACTCTAGATTTGGCCACCTCTGAAAGAGCCCCATCTAAAACTTCTTGAGGCTTTGGGTGGACACCAACAATGACAGTTGTTAAGAGAATTAGACTGTAATAATGTACTTGTACTGCGGTCTGACATTCATCAAGCCCCACAGAAATTTTACCTCTCAGCTGTTGGTTAACGGACACAGAAGTCCATGATGTTCATGTCAAAATCTTCATTTGACAAGTAAACAGCCCCAAGAAGTGGTATTCTGCAAATTATAATGGCACTTTAATTTTTGAAAACACTTTAACACAAAATATTAATTTGGCAAAAATCTGTCCCCCAAAGAATATAGCATCCCAAGTACATATGATAAAGCAACTGAATAGCCAATGACACAGTTCAATTCTTACACTTGATAGAAAAAAATCTCCCAAAATCAGAAGTGAGTTTTGATGTATTCTATGGGCAGGCTCCATGTTTGGGGAAAATTCAACAAAGAAATACAGCACAGAACAGCTAGTGACCAATAACCATCTAACGGCCTGCTCCTCATCAGCAGCATGACTCCAGGAATGAATACATTTTCCATCATGGAGAAATCAGACTGGGACAAAAGGAAAATCTGACACCAAATTTCAGTTAAGAAAAGATTGCTTGAAATCTAGAGTTGAATTTAATGTCCATCTGGAATAATTACCCAAATATGTTATCATAAGTTGAATTATTTTCAGGATTTGACTTCACTGATGGATTAAGAAAAATCACACTAATATATTGGCACAAACAATATTTTTGTTTCCCATGAGTTAGTATGTTAAATTTTACACTACATTTGAAGTTTGGAGTCACACGTGTGTGTGTGTGTGTGTGTGTGTGTGTGTGTGTGTGTGTGTGTGTCTGTCACTATTCATTATTACTGAGAAATGTTTAAAACATAATCCTTCAAAGTTTATATCATTTGGACCAAATCCCTGTCACTGAGGACTGAATCCACTCTATAAGACAGAGAAATTTGAGTGGTTATTACAAATTACTGAATAATTACATTAAATTAACAAACCATGCCCCTTGAATAAAATTGTCTAAAAATCTACCTCCACTAATCAGGGCCTTTACTGAACTAGAATTTTAAGGGATAATATACATAAACAGAAAGTTATATCTATATTTCTAAATAAGGAATTGTTTCCCAACAATATGTATCATCACTGTCACCAGTCTTCATTTCCCCACTTTGCAGCAGCCCTCTCTAAGTAGAATTTAATAACCACAGCTCTTCTGGTGTTGTCTGAAAGTCAGACATGAAGGGACTGGTCTCCAATTTTATGTCATCCTCAGAGGAAACCGGAGTAATCCACGGTGATTTCCTAAAGAAAAGAGAAACAGAAAGTAAACAAGGTGGGCATACTTGTCATCAAGTATTCCCAAATTTAAACTTGGGGCCCAGTTGTTTTAAAGACTGTTTCAGACAATCATTTTCAGCACAGCAATTTCAGAGTATAGCACAGGGCCAGAACTCCAGACCTTCCAGGTGGCAGTTGGATCTTGATGTTAAGATTAGGGCAAGTATGCTTAGACAAAGCTAGTTTCATATTATCTCTCCATGGTTAAAACAGCAAGTGGAAAGATGAGTGCTCCTAGATGACTGGTGATGTTTACATTAGTAGAGAACCAAAATATTCAGCAAAACAGACTTAGCCAAATGGATCCTACAATCAAGAAGCAAAATCCACCAAGAGCTTAACTGACTAAAGTACTGAAACCAAAACTGTGTCAAATTATGTGTCTGTACATATGCATGTTCATGTTTAACCTTAAAATTCATACAACAAAAACCTAATCATGTGTTGTATGGCTAGCCTTCATTTTTCTAAGAAGGATAAGCTTCATACAATACAGAAGTTACCATCATCTATGTATGTATCTGATGTGTGACAAGTAGAATCAAGGTTTAGCTTCTATTTGGGAAACTTCTCAGACCTGTTAAATCCCTCAGCCTGGTTTTGCCTTATAAAATCAAGTAAAAGAAATATCAAAAGTATGAGCAGTATGAATGTATACGAGGGCACTGAATTGCACACTTAAAGATGGTTAAATTGCTAAATTTTGTCTTTGTATATTTTACCACACTACAAGGTTGCCCCCCATAAAAGTGCACTAGTCATGTTAAAAGGTTCTGCGTATTTACTCTGAACTCTAAATTCTTATTTTGATGTCCTTTATTTTCACATACTAAACAAAGTTGTCATTTTCTTGTGGTTTCTTGAGTATTTGCTCAGCTCTACAACACAATGTCAATCTTTCAGTGAAAGCATATGTGTACCAGGATAACAGTGCACTTAGTCAGAGTTTGATGGGGTCCTTTGGGGTTCAACCTCTCTGTTTCACAGATTGTTAGTAGATGTATTCAGTGATCAAGTTGACAACCTGTTCCTTCCATGCATCTCCATCAGCCGGTGGTACAAAATGAAAGATTTGTTTTCTGTTAACTCTTAGCAAGCTTACTGTTCTAACATGGAACTGAATGCCAAAATGCATCAGAAGAGAACTACAAAGGTGGAAACACCAAGATACAGTGTGGGTGCTGGCTGCCCCATTTAGCAGAGGTTCATGGTTTTGCCTTGAATTTGAGTTGCTTAAAATAACATAGTGACACTAGATTGTCTGCAAGAATATTTCCAAGTCTATCTTTTGATTTTGAAAATATTACTTTTTAAAGTAAATATTACACTGAAAAAAAGTAAATTAAAGAAATAATAGGGCATCCACTGAAATGTTTTTGTAGATATTTTGTTAATGTAGAGTTTGTTTGAATTGTGCTTGTGGGTGAATTAAAGTCTCAATAACCTGTGCTTCTCAAAAACGCAATGCTAAAAAAGGGGTGGATCAAAGTATTTCAAAGGAACCAGGTCTGCAGAACTCACCGAGTGGTAATGCAGAACAAAGGGGTCTTCTCAGGATCTCTGTGGCTATCCCTCTGGGTGTAGTACATCTCAGTTTGAATAAGGAGATAATCCCTGAAGAGCACCTAAGAGAGCAGGAAGTTGCATAGGAGAGGTTTCCAGTAACAAGGAGCCATACACACATATCAACATGAAATAGAAAACACCAGTTATCTCAGACGTGGCTACTGTCCCTCTTGGATACACACAAAGACTAAGCACAATAATTTGTTGTTGGCACAAACAACTAGTGCAGCAAAAATATAAATTGTCCACATTTGATGTTCTACATAAAGGTAACATCCCAAAATAAAAATATTTCAATCTTTTTCCTGAAACAAGTAGCCACCTGAGGTTTTACTTTTATGAAAGGCATTTCCTCACATAATACACATCCTCATGGAGCAGGAATAGATTTCAGAACATTCATATTAATGACCTTGCTCAGGGGAGCATTGGATGAAATGTAAAACGATGTCTTAAGCTTCAGGCAAATAAAATAGTGGTACTAAAGGGGCTCATGGAGTTTCAATCCCTGAGCATGCATGTGTTGAAGCCCAGCACACAGGGAAGCCTTGGAACCTCACTCCCAGACAGTAAGATAACACCCCGTATCTGAAATGACCTGAGGACATGGGAGGTCCCCACAGGGCCATGCCCAGTTAACTCCAAGCAGTTGGTAGGGGCCTCAATTCAGTCCTAGAAGCTGAATGCTCACGGGTTGAATCACAGGGAAGCCTTGGAACATCACTCTGAGGCAATAAGACCACACCCAATGTCTGAAATCACCAGAGGACACAGGGGAGGTCCAAGCAGGCCTAACTGGGTCATTCTCAGTGAACTCCAAGCAGCTGGCAGGGGCTTGAAATCATTCCCAGGCACTGAGCCTGTGCAGGTTGAAAGCCAGTACAGAGGGAAGCCTTGGATTGCTCCCAGGAGGTAAGACCAGGCCCTATGTCTCAAATCATAGGAGGATGCAGAGGAGTATCTCACAGAGCTAAATAGCCTGTGCCCAGTGAACTCCAAGTGGCTAGCAATTGCCTGCAGTCTGCCCCAGGAGCCAAAAGTTGGCCAGGTGATCCCAGCACATGGGGAAGCTTTGAAACATCACACAAAAACCAGAAATATAGGAAAATGACAAAACAAAAGCGCAAAATCAATCTCAAACTTCCAGCCCAGCCCAAGCAAGCCTACGAGACATGGACACAGAAGAAAATATAAGCAATTCACCTGAAATTCTGGAAATGATTACAACTGAAGTAAAGAACAACTCCAGGAAGCTATAAAAGAAGTCATATCAGAAATATTCTGTCAGGTAAAAGAAGAAATGATAAACGTAATAAAAGAACTGTTCAACTCATCCAAAGAAGACATGGTTAAAAAATTAGAGGAACAATGTAAAAAGACAGAAACTCTGAAGGAACAATATAAGAAACAAACAGAATGCATGAAATAGATTCAAAGAGATATATAGGAAATGAAAAATTCCATTGAAAGTTGGCAGAACCACCTCAACGAAAGTGAAGACAGAATTTCAGACCTCAAAGACAAGACTGCAGCTAGTGAACAGAAAAGGAAAGATCTTTTCAAAATAACAAGGAATCAGAAAATAACAATTCAGCAGCTACAAGATGGTGCAAAGAAAAACAACATAAGATTAATAGGGATGAATGAAAAAGAAGGAAACAATACAAATGATATCAAAAGGCAATTCACAGAAGTCATAGATGAAAATTTCCCAAACATGAGAATGGAAACTGACATTAGAATTAGTGAAGCATATAGAACTTCAAATAACCATAACCAAAATAAACTACATCCAAAATAAATAACAGAACTGAATCATATCTGTGAAAAAACGGACCTGAAATTACCATCCCAGAAATCCAACATAAGAACAGAATATTAAAAGCTTACAGAGCAAAAGGACAGATCACCTATAAAGGGAAGCCTATTAGAGTCACAGCAGACTTCCCAACACAAACAATAAAATAGAGCATGGAGTGAAGTATTTCAGATCCTAAAGGAAAATGATTACCAACCTAGATGGATGTTCCTGCAAAACTGTTCTTCAAAATCAGTGTAGAAATAAGATACTTCCATGACAAAGAACAGCTAACATGAAGACAAAGAACTTCATGATTACCAAACCAACCCGGCAAAGAATACTGAAAGACATTCTAGTTACACATAGGAAAAAGCCACTAAGCAAGGCAGACAATTAAACAAAATGCAACGACAAAGATGCAACAGCACAAAGATAACATGTCAACAATAAACCAGTATATAACAGTTATAACCATCAATGTAAATGATCTTAACTCATCAATTAAAAGAAACAGACTGGCAGAATGGATCAAGAAACAACATCCAACCAAATGTTGTCTAAAAGAAACCCCTCTAACCCAAAAAGAAACTCACAGACTGAAAGTCAAAGAATGGAAAACAATACTTCATCCAACAGAAACCCCCAAAAAAAGCTGGGATGGCTATTCTATTTGCAGAAAATGTGAACTTCAAACCAAGAATGATCCACAGAGATAAAGAAGGTCACTACATACCAGTTAGGGGAAAACTACAAGAGGAAGAGATAATAATATTAAATATATATGCACCAAATTCCAGAGCACCCAGTTATACAAAGCAAATATTAACAGAAATGAAAAATCAAATAAGTAATAACACAATTATAACAGGAGATCTTAACACACCATTGACACCAAGAGACAGATCAACTAGACAGAAAATCAGCAAAGAAATAACAGAACTGAATCATATCTGTGAAAAAACGGACCTGATAAACATACACACAGTGTTCCATTCAACATCAGAATATACATTCTTCTCAGCAGTACATGAGACATTCTCTAAAATAGACCATATACTAGCACACAGAACATATTTAAGTAAATGCAAAAGAACTGAAATTATCCCATGCATATTTTCAAACCATAGCACCATGAAACTAGAAATTAATGATAAAAGAAACTGCACAAACCCATGGAAATTGAATAATATACTCAAGCAAACAGTGGGACACACAGTAAATTAAGGAAGAAATTAAGCAATACCTACCAGCAAGTGAAAATACAATTAGAACTAAGCAGAATCTGTGAGATGCAATGAAAGTGGTCCTCAGAGGATAATTTATTGCACTGAGTTCCCACATCAGGAAAACAGAACAAATATAAATAAACAACCTGATGCTACACTTCAAACAGCTGGGAAAAGAAAGTAAGTCAAACCCAAATCCAAAAGACGAGAGGGAATTATAAAAATCAGAGCAGAAATTAATGCATTAGAGACCAAGAAAATACTCCCCAAAAAATTGACTCCAAGAGTTGGTTCTTTGAAAGAATAAATAAAATTAATAAGCCTCTAGCCAAACTTATTTTAAAATGGGAAGAAAAAGCTCAAATTCATGCAATAAGGAATGAAAAAGGTGAAATCACTACAGACCCTGTGGAAATACAAAAGATCATCAACACCAGTTTCAAAAAATGCTAAGATCGATAACACAGAAGAAATGGACAGATTCCTAGAAACACATGAAGCACTAAAGCTCTATCAAGAAGATGTAAAATTGCTGAATAACCCAATTTCTATTAATGAAATTAAAAATGTAATTAAGTCTTTACCTACAAAGAAGAGCCCAGGCCCAGATGGATTCACTGCAGAATTCTACAAGAAATACAAAGAAGACCTAATGCCAAGACTCCTAAAACTGTTCAATGAAATCAAAAGGGAAGCAATCCTTCCTAAGTCTTCCTAGAAGCAAATATTGCTCTCATACCAAAACCTGAGAAAGACCCAACTAAAAAAGAGAACTATAGGCCAATCTCCCTAATGAACACAGATGCCAAAATCCTCAATAAAATATTGGCAAACAGGATGCAGCAAATCATCAAGAAGATTATACACCAAGACCAAGTGAGATTTATCCCAGGCACACAGGGATGGTTCAATATACACAAATCAATAAATGTAATCGATCATATCAATAAAGACATAAGTAAGAATCATAGTATCATTTCTACAGATGCAGAAAAAGCTTTTGATAAGGTCCAACATTCATTCATGATAAGAACCTTACATAAAATTGGAATAGATGGTCTTTACCTCAATATGATAAAGGCCATCTATGACAAACCAACAGCCAGCATCACATTAAATGGCCAAAAACTAAAGGCCTTTACCTTAAAATCAGGCACAAAACAAGGATGTCCCTTATCACCACTCCTATTCAACATAGTACTGGAAATACTAGCCAGAGCAATTATAAAAAAAGAGAGAAATAAAAGGGGTAAAGATAGGAAAAGAGGAAGTCAAATTACCATTATTTGCAGATGACATGATATTCTACATAGAAGACGCTGAAAGACTCCTAGATATGAAAAATAAATTCAGCAATCTACACGGATACAAAATCAATACTCAAAAATCAATAGCATTCTTATATACTAACAATAAAATCACTGAGAGAGAAATTAGAGAAGCTACAACTTTAACACTAGCATCCAAAAAATTGAAATACTTAGGAATTAATCTCACAAAAGAAGTAAAAGATCTATACAGGGAAAATTATAATATCATGGAAAAGAAATTGAAGAGGATCTCACAAAATGGAAAGACATCCCTTGTTCATGGATATGGAGAATAAATATTGTGGAAATGGCCATTCTCCCAAAATTCTCAATGAAAATATCATCAACATACTTCATAGATCTAGAGAAATCACTCCGAAAATTCATCTGGAACCAGAAGAGACCTAGAATAGCAATGGCAATTCTAAACAGCAAAGGCAAGGCAGGAGGCATCACAATTCCTGACTTGAAGTTATACTACAAAGCTACTGAAATAAAATCAACATGGTACTTGAATTAAAACAGACCTGAAGATCAATGGAATAGATTAGAAGATACAACCATAATTACAAACACACTCAACTACCTTATCTTTGATAAAGGAGCCAAACATGTACACTGGAAGAAATACAATCTCTTTAATAAATGGTGCTAAAAAGCTGGCTCTCCATATGCTGAAAACTAAAACTATACCCATGCCTATCACCATTAAAATCACAATTAAAATCTAAATGGATCAAAGATCTGAATATTAAAACAGAAACACTAAATCTGTTGGAAGACAAATTGGGTGAAAATCTTGAAGACATATGAATAGGTAGAGAATTCTTGAACAGGATTCAAACCACACAGGAAATACTTCCCAGAATCAATAACTGTGATCACCTCTTATTAAAAGTTTCTGCGTGTCAAAAGAAATCTCCAGCATAGTGAAAAAACCCACAAACTGGGGAAAAAATCTTAGCAAACTGTCCCTTAGACAAAGGACTTCTGCCCAGAACATATAAAGAATTAAAATAGATCCCCAAAATTCAAAGACCCATTCCAAAAATGGGCATCTGAGATGAATACACAGTTCTCAGATTAAAAATTACAAATGGCAAATAAATAGATGAAAAATTTTCAACATCATTGGTCATCAGAGAAATGTAAAGAGGTTCCATCTCACTCCAGAAAGAATGGCCAGGATAAAGAAAACTACCAACAACAAATGCTGGAGAGGCTTCAGAGAAAAAGGAACACTTGTGCACTGTTGGTGGAAGTGGAGACTGGTGCAACCACTGTAAAGGTCAGTCTAGAGATTCTTAAAAAGCTGGGATAGAAGGCCCCAGCTAGCCATCCCACTTCTGGGCATATTCCCAGAAGAACTGAAAGCATCATACTAAAGGGATATATGTGCATCCATGTTTGTAGCAGCACAATTTGTAATAGCCAGATCTTGGAAACAACCTACCTGCCCATCAACTGAGGAATGGATAAAAAAAAAGACGTGGTATTTTTATACAGTGAAGTACTACTCTGCTATAAAGAATGATCACATTAAGATATTTACAAGTAAATGGATGCAACTTGAGACCATACTCATAAGTGAAATAAATCAAACTCACGTGTGTAAATACCATGTAGTATCCATAGTGTAAGAAATGGTAAGGGTACATAAGATACAAAAAACTCAATAAACACAGTGAAAGTATAAGAATCTGTTTAAAGGGGAAAAAATAATATCCCAGGAAAAATGAGGAAATCAAAAAGGAAGGGAAAAGAAGAGATGTCTAAAATTATATAATCACACTTAGGATAGCTAAAATGTTTGCACTACGAATTATATATAAATTCTTGGAACAAAAATTTAATATTTGTAGGATTTGAACAATTGTGCATACTATTGTATAGTGATCTCAAGAACTCTTGAAGATCATTATGTAAAATAACAACCCTAGTTATGCTCATACCAGCTTGTTTTGAAGGCCTATACTGTCAGTGTTTGGGCTCCTTGCTATTGTTGTTTATACGTCTTTTTCATTTAACGTTTTTCTAAGAATTTGTTTTGTTTTGTCTTGGTTTGTTTTGTTTTTCCCTCTAATACAAAAAGTATAGGATAGCTGTAGAGACTCATGCATGTGTAGATCTTCCAAAAAGTTTTTGAGAATCAATTGTATAATGCACAATGAGACGAAGAGCTACTTTGAAAAAGAGGAGACACTAAGGCACCCACTGCTGATTCCAGAGCATCAGGATGTGAAATCTAGTAATACTATTATTCTTTGTTCAGAGTGACTTTAGTCTGTCTTGTTTTGTTTAATTTCAACATACATGAAGGTGTGGACAGCTATTTTGAAGAGAATGAGAAACATTATGGCAGCCATTGTTGAGTTCCCTATTGTCTGGTCTTGAAGACCTAAAACTGCCTTCATCATCCTGTTCTGATCACTTCTATACTATATCATTTTGTATGAATTCATTATATGTGAAGATATGGACAACTATTTGGAAGAAAACAAAGAGACAATATGATAGACAGTGAAGATCTCTGGTTCTCTTGCTTTGAAATCTGTGTCTCTTACATTGTTATCTTATGATCTGTTTCATTCTGTCTTGTTATGTTTAATTTTTATCCTCTTTAAAAATAAAATTCAAAACAAAAGAGGGTTTATGATCAGCTCTCTGACCAGTCTATAAATCTGAGCTGTAGGGTCCTGTACACTCATCCATCACGGCCCAGTATTGGTGAAGAACTCCACCACCACCTACCCAGAAGGCTTTGAAAAAAGGACAGTTAATTTAACACTAGACACAAAGATATGACACGCATTTGGCATTTCTGCAAGTAAGTGCCACACTCACCTGGGTCCGGATGCCACAAGCACTAACTGGGTACACGAAACGATACACATACGTTTGGATCTCAGTCGCAGGGCAGCCCAAGCCCAGAACCAGTTCGTCAGCAAACATGTAGGGGTTGCTTCTGTTGAATCTATGTGGGCTGACCAAGACTGTCACCCAGTCTATGGAGCACTGTATTCTCACTGTGGGAGAAACCATTCAAGAAATTATCATTATTATTATTTTCCCAAAACATCTGCTTACTTATGCATCTAAATGCCTAGATTTCAGGTGTTCGATGGAGGCTGGAAGAGGATTGGAAAAAATCACATGATCCCTTTACTTCCTCCAAACAAAATTATATTCCATAGAAAATGTACACCTAGAACGAAGCATAAAGGAAGAAGTCATAATGTGTTAGAAGAAACATATTCCTTCTCCCTTTTTGGAAAGGGAGAAGGAGGAGAAAGGGTAAGGCAGTATGGTGGAATACACATCGAGAGCAGCAAGGGCAGGAAACAATCTCAGCTGGAAAGAAAATTTGCTACTTAGGGATGAAGACCTGTGACCATTTTTGTGATAAAATTCATTCTTTCCTCTATGTTAAAATCTTTGGGAAGCCAGGGACAACCATTCATGGATTCATTTGAGGCAGCCTTGCCCTCCAAACATGAAAAGAATATCTGATTAGAGATAAACTGGCCACAGAGATCTCCACCAATATTGGATCCCCAAAGCCCTTGGCCTTCAGAGATAAACCACCACCAAAAAGATAATAATAAGCAAGTTTGGGGGAAAGGAACTTTGGGGCAGGCAGGTGTTCTACATCAGTGACTGTAACCTCCAAATCACAGCCCTCTCTGTGTTTAAAATACTACTGTCATACCACCTCAACAAAATATTCAGGGAAATCATTCCCAAAGGAAAAAGTTCCAATGACTGGGATTAAAGGTGGGTTCAGAAGGAGACATGGTGAGAACTCAGGAAGCCCACACTCTTGACCTTACTGCTGTTGTCTATGACAATGGAGTCGAGTTTCAGCTCAGCGTTTGGTGGTCTCTCAAAACACGAAGGAGTCATTGGACAAAAACCCTGAGGAACCCACCCTGATTCTAGATACATCCACTGAGACAGAAATATATACAAACCCAGGCATTATGAAGCAGAACCCAAACCTGAACACCCTCATCACCACCTAGTAATACCAACTACTGCCAAAATTACCAACTACTGCCCCTCACAAGTGCTCTGCATCTCAGTGATTAGCTGCTTGTGGTGAGCTCTAAGAATTCTGAAGGATTCATCTTAGACAAGGTGGAAAGAAACTGGTAATGAGATATCCTTGCTCACCAAGAACTTGACATCAAGTGGATAAGTAAGACATTCATATATCAGTTCCAAGAAAAGACCACATAGAATAAAATAGATCAGTCTACATTGATGTAAACAAGCAAACAAATTTTTTTAAAAAGCACAAAAAGTAACACTGCAAAAGTCCTTGAGATAGAGGACATTTGGTCAGGTTAATTAAGGCTAGGAAGCATTTGGATTCCAGGAAAAACAGAAAAGACCCATTAGAATCAACTTGCAGACAGTGGATTGATTTATCTTTTGCCCACTGGCCTTGTAAACCACTGATGGATTCAACAGGGATGAAAGGAAATAGGAAGAGACCAGAAGCGAGAATTCCAGTTGCAATACAACCCAGTTTCTTACAGTGCCACCAAGTACCAGCGATTGGCAGTGGGCTTGCAAAAGCAAACTCAGAGCCAGGACTTTCTGCAAATGAGGATTGGGATAAAGATGGAACCAAACAAGGGGGAGAGAGAGAGAGAGATGAAAAAGTGGACCAGAAACATCCAGGAACTCAGACATTTAGGCAGGAAAAAAAATGTGACCTGTGTGTGTCAACACAAGTCCACTCAACCTTAAGTTATTTCTCTTCCTGCAAATGAAAACATCACATCTCTCCAGGAAGGTGGGCACCAGGGTGGAAAGCAATCTTTTTGAACACCCTCAAGGACACATTGTCTGAGTGGTAATTTACCATCTATGTCCACATGAAGGTCAGCCCAAGGCCAAATTGAGACAGCAAGGAGAACCGAGGCTGCTAAGGCCAAGGAGACCCCCATCTGGGCAGATCTCCGGCACAGCTTTGCTGAAGAAACAGAAACAGCACGGTGGAGAGTCTACAGGATTCTGCTGGCAGCCCCAGCTCAGCTGCTGCCTTTCTCCTCCTTATCTGAGCATCTTGTGGAGATCACTTACCATAGAGAGAACCACCTGGAGACTTACTGCCCTGATGCCCCAAACACTGAAACTCAGATAGGCCATCAGGGGAAAATGTGTCATTTGGTGACCACACAAGGTCTGTGAATATCTCCTAGGAAGCCAGGATGTTGCATGATGCTTCTAGTAATTAATAAATTGTAGGGAACGTTTTACTAGTGATAAGAAGCTGTAACTTTCTGTCTGATATGTGGACTGCCTAAATAATACATATTTGAAATAACCTTTCGTTTCTTCATTTCTGTAGATTTGGCTGGAAGAAACACAGTAGAAATAACAGAAAGACTTGGTGAAGAACATAAATCCTTAGGAGAGCAAGGCTTAAAGGAAAAATCAAATTTTTGGTATCACAAAAACCCACATACAATCCCAATCAACACACAAACAGCATTCTCTATAGAGCTAAAAAAAAAATTCCAAAATTCACATACAACCAGAAGTCCAGCATAGCAAGAACAACCCTGCAATGCTTTTCAGTGTGTGGTGCTTGGATGTTAAGGGTTCATAGGATCAAAAATATTTTTGTAATAATACTGAAAGGGACTCTCACAAATCCAGCAGGAAACTGAAGGAAAAAGAAAAATAGAAAGAGGAAGGAAAAGTGCAAGTGGAGGGATGGAGCCCAAAGTGCTCACTGAAATCAGTCCATGCTGTGTTGCGAGCACCGAGGAATCAGATGATTCAAGGTTGCACTGAATCCATGGCCATGGATAATGGGAATTGAGTCCCTGGCCCTTGGTGGGAGGACGCAGCACAGTGTGGAGTGGAGCCAAGGTAGATAACTGTAATAGTTCACGGTGAGTGCTGGAAATTGGGTACTGCTGTGGGTGTCACTGGCTGGAAGACATCTTGGAGTAGGGCAGAGCCCAGTGCTGCAGTGGCATGTCAGCCACCCCTGGCCCAGAGAGTACAGGTGGGACCTGCTTGGACTGATGCACACCCCTCATTGGGATCCAATAGCCAGGAATTAAATTGTCCCAACCCTGTGACAACCACTACATCACAGCCTAAGTTGCTGAAGGCACTTGCCGGTTGAATGGCTCAGAGGCAAGTAACTAGCCCACATCATCCCCATGTGCACCTCATATAACAACAAATTGGAGAGGGCAACAAAACACCAGTCATCACACTCCGTAACACCATAAGCAATACAGAGAGGGCCAGAGACTTCCACTACACACTTGTCTGAAAGAAATCAGAAACATGACAAGAGACAGAAATAAGAAAAAACCTCCAGCTGCTGTCTCAGGGAAAATAAGCCCAAGAAAGGTAAATACAGAAGAGAACCAGTGCAGCAATGATGCAATATTAGCCACAACATCAGCGGACAAAAAGAAATACCTTCATGACCTCATAGATGAACTTAAAACTGAAATTCTAATCCAAGTGAGTCAAGATATAAAAAGATTAAAGAAATGCTAAGCCCTTCCCAAGAAAACACAAATGGAAGAATGGAGGAACCCAGAAAAGGAAGAAAAACCTTTGGTGAAGAATATAAACAAAATCTAGAATACATGAAACAGATCCAAAGAGAATACCAGGAAACTAAAAACTCCATTGAAAGCTGGCAAAATGCCTTGACAGAAACTAAAGTTAGCCTTTTAAAACTTGAAGAGAAATTTATAATGTGTGATCATGAAAGAAAAGATCTCTTAAAAATAACAAGGAACCAGGAAGAAACAATTCAAAGGCTAGAAGATGACAAGAGGATCTATAACATAAGAATAAAAAACATGAGTGAAGAAGCAGGAGTAATCACAAATGAATTACAAAGACTATTCATATAAATAATTTTTTTACAATTTTTTTCACATAAATAATTAAGGAAAACTTCCCAAGCATAGGAAAAAGAAATGATATCCAGATAAATGAGGCATACAGAACTCCAACCAACTACAACCAAAATAGAGCTACACCCATAAATATAATAATCAAGATCCCAGAAATCCACCACAAGAACAAAATATTAAAAATGGCCAGAGAAAAGAAGCAGATCACCTACAAAGGACAAATCATCAAAATAACGACACACCTATCAACACAAACTCTCAAACTGAGAGGAGCCTGGGGGGAAATAGACTAAGCCCTGAAAGAAAATAACTTCCAACCCAGATTGATGTACCCTGAAAAACTCTCTCAAATTTAATGGTGAAATAAGATGTTTCCAAGACAAGCAGGCATTGTGGGAGTTCATGGCCACCAACCCAACCCTACAAAAAATATTGAAGGACATTCTAGAAGAAAAAAATACCAGGATTCCAGCAACAGTGGTAGAGAGGCCTCAGTGAAGGAGGCAAACAGTGGAATGAAGGAGAAAAGTAGATAAATAATAGCAGAAAAATAGAATAGCAGAGATGAGGCAGAGAAGGTAGGCTATAATCTTTAATATAGATAGCCTTGATACACTAACAAAAAGAAACACAGGCAGAGTAGATTAGGAGGCAGGATCCATCAAGATGCTCTGAATAGAAAATATATTCAATCTGAAAGAGGGTTAATAAACTGAAAGTCAAAGATGAGAAAACAATGCTCTATGTGACAGGGAACCAGAGAGAAATAGAATAGGAACAACTCGGGGCTGGGGATTTAGATCAGCAGCATAAGCAACTGCCTTACAAGCAGGTGGTTGTGAGTTCGATCCCCAGTACCGATAAAAAGAGAAAAAGAAAAAAAAAAGAAATAGGAACAACTCATCCAGCAGCCGCAGATAAGTTAGAAAGTTATGACACTTTTGTGCAGTGTAGAACTACACAGCAGCTAGAAGGAAAGAAAACCTTGTGGCTTTAATAAGTAAAGGAGTACAGCTCAAGATCAAGCTCAGGGGTAAAAAGGTTCATCACCACTCAGATAAAAGGTTGATCTCCTAATCTAAAAACTAAAGGAGCTAATGGGACCCAAAATATACAAAGCATCCTGAGAAAAGGAAAGGTGAAGAATTGCATTAAAAAGAAAGGCTGAGGATGTTGTTAGTAGTGTAGCAGGATTTAAAAGCCACAGTATTCTTACTGCTCTGTTCAGTTTGATTTTATTTTGTTCCGGTCTGTCTAATCATACTAGATTTGAGGGCACAGACAACTATTCCCAACATAGCAAGCTATACCATGGTAACTATCCTTAATTTCCTATTAACTTAAACTGAAGCCCTGTGTTACTTACATTGTCTTACTATGACTGATCTTATTTGAAGCTGGTTTGTTAGACCACTGTTTTGCCTTGACTGATTTTATTCGAATTTGGTATGCTTGATAGTGTCAAGCCTAAGAGTAGAGGCAACTACTCTGAAGATGACAAGATGTAATAAGATACCCATTCTGGTTTGATTATTAACTGCTTTTGAAGTCCTACAATGTCTCCAAAGTTGCGTTTTTGTTAAAATAGCTATGTAATATTATGCTCAATTATAGTATGTCTGATGATGTGAACAATTCTATTGAAAATAACAATAGAAAGCATAGTAACTACTGTAGATCATCTAATATTGTGGTTTTATATATCTTTTTCATTTCATTTCATGTTTTTCTAGGAATTTGTTTTGCTGTCTTGTTATGATCTGCTTTTCCCTACAATACAGAAAGGATAGATATACATGTAGAGATTCATACATGGGGAGAATTTCTAAACTATTTATGGGAACAGGTTATATAATGCAAGATGTAATGAACAGACACTCTAAAGAAGAGACACTAAGAAACCCAGTGCTAGTTCTGTAGCATTATGATATAAAATCTAGCAATACTATTATTCACTGTTCAGAGTGATATTAGTCTATTCTCTTATGTTCAATGTCAGTGTACATAAAGATAAAGACAGCTACTACAAAGAGAATGAGAGGCATTATGTTAGTCATTATTGACTTCCCCAGTGTCAGGTCTTGAAGACCTAAAAAGCTCTCATCATCCTGTAATGAATTTTATTAGTTCTATAATGTTCAATATGTATTCAATGTGTGAAGATGGGGACAACTATTTGGAAGAAAACTAGAGACAATAAGATAGTGAAGATCTCTAGTGGACTTGCTTTGAAATCCATGTTTCTTAAAATTGTTTCCTTATGATGTTTTGTTTTGTTTAATCTCACCCTTTTTAAAATAAAAAGGCACATTAAGACAATGAATAAGCTACCTGGAGAAAATACTAGGTAATATTTGGTAAAGACCTGGTGTTCAAGATGAATAAAGAACACTTCCCTACAGTAAGACAGATGACATGATAAAATGGGCAAAGTCACCTCATAAAAATAATGAACACTAACAATTAATCTGGAAAATGCAAACTAAATCACGAGACACCACTATTTACCTTTCCAATCATAGTGAGACCCCTGCACCTTGTTCCATTCCCAATATAAGTGCAAAGACAACACCCTATTTGGGGAAATATTCATCAGTGTTTTGCAAAACTAATTATGTCTTTTCCTATGGTCAAGCAATCCTCCTCCTGGGTATTCATCCAAAGAAACAATGCACACCTGCCAAAGGGTGCTCATAGGGTTAGTCATAAATCCCAAAGATTGAAAATAGCACAATTCTAAGTAAATGACATATAATGGAATACCACTCAGCAATGTAAAGTGATAGGCTATGGAATACATAGTGTCATATACCTCGATTATGCTGAACACACAAGACAAAAGGCCTTGCTGTGCTTCCTTTTATTCAAAGTTATAGGAGAGAACAAGCAGGCACTATATTCTGCAGCTACTGTAGCTTTGTGTATGTTCAGAAAGGGTTTGCATTAAATAAATAGCTGAGTTGACAAATATATGTACTCATGTAATGGTGATGAATGCTAGAAGACTTTTCTTCAAATGAGTAACCTTAAATAACCCCTAACTCATGACATACCTGAGGGGACCCAGCCTCATGCCTTCAGTTAGAAAGGCAGACAAATCCACTTAAGCCTTTATGTAAGACA